AGGGACTGGTGGATTTGGCAAGGCAGAATTCTCCTGCCAAGTCTGAAATGCAAGGCCAGAGATTTAAATTTCATACTGTGAGCACTGGGCTGGGTAACCCTGCACCAGGAGGCAGTCAGGAATGAAAGCAGAATGCATTTGCCTTTGTACACAGAGCACTAAGAGGAGCTTGGAGCTGTTTCTGCATCACTTCCTCTCCATCAGTGACCCAGAGTAGAGGCAGATCTCTCTGTACATGCCAGAATTTTTGTAATTTAGTTTTCCACTCTGTATCCTCCTTTTATAAATCCTGGGTGACTTCGACCAACTGAGTTTTGCTGTGCCACCTGGTCAGATGTTTGGGAAGTGGTACTTTGGTTTCCTTGTCTTGCAGCAGTTCTTCTTGCTGTCCAAAGCTGGGAGAACTTTGCTGCAGGCCAGCTGAGGCAGGTGCTGTAACTAAAGGAGAAGTCACACCGTGTCTATTTGTTTGGAATGGGAATAAAGCACACATGGAATCAGTTTTCACACGGAATATGAGCTATGAAACTATTCCTACTGTAATCCTGTACTTTCCAAGCTCAGATGCTGGGGTTTTACCACTGGACTCATTAAAGAATTCCATTAGGCAAGAAAAATATCCCAGTGATAGAAATGGAAGAGGCCAATCAGTGTGAGCCAGAACTGACACCCTGCAGCAATTCTCCATCCCTCACCTCCAACCTCCTGCCTGTTCCCAGCTCAGTCCCAGAGCTGCCATGGGGAATGTGGCTCCCAGAATAAAGAAGTGTGGAATGAGGGGCATTGTGAGGCTGAATTTGGGGACTTTGGATGGAGGCTGGAATAGCCAGAGCAGCAGGGAGACACTTGCTTGGCAGCTCCAGAAACACCCAGGGTGCGGGGTAACGTGGAACTGTCACCAACAGAAGTGGTGTTTATTCCATCTCCACAATTCAGGATTAAAAAGCACCTGAGTACTCAAATGACCCCAGTGTGCAGTTTGTGCAGCCCTCCTGCTGCTCTCTGTCAGGAATGCACATTCCTGGTTGAACATTACTGTGCCGGGGCTGAGCTGTTTATGCCCAGGGCCCCATGGAGCCGCAGTGCAAAATGCACTTTGTCCATACAGAGTTACTCTTCAGCCAGGGGCTGTTTTCTCCTCAGCCAGAACCCAGAGCAGCCCAAGCCCTCAGTGCCAGCACAGCCCCTCCTCAGGGAACACCATGGAAGCCTCACCCCCGGCAGGTGCTTCCGAGGCAGCCTGGCTGCTTTCTGTGAGCCCCTCGGGTGCTCTCTGCCCGGCTCTGCTGCCTCCCTCAGGCTGTCAAAGTAGGGCTGCTGCAGCAGCTGCTCACAGCTCTGCCTCTCCGCAGGGTCCATCCGAAGGCAGCCCTTCAAAAGATGGAGGGTGACACAAAGCACTCCTGGCCCAGCCCTGCAGTTCCCGTGCTCCCCACACACAGCCCAGCAGCATTCCCACAGGTACACGTGTCAGTGACTTTAATGGATTCTAGGGGTGGCTGTTCAGAGCCAGCACGAAGCTTGAGGAGCAGCTAATTATCCAGCAATTACAAGAATTAACCATGGGATGGTTTGGGTTGGAAGGGACCTTAAAGATCATCCTGTTCCAAGCCCCTGCCCTGGGAGGGACCCCTTCCCTGTCCCAGGCTGCTCTGAGCCTGTCCAGCCTGGCCTGGACACTGCCAGGGATGGACAATCCACACTGTGGCAGCAATTGTGGCTCAGGAACAGCTGCAATGCCATGGGGCAGCAAACCAGGAGTGAATCTCAGACTCACTCCCAGACCCTCCCACCAGATGATTTGTTTATCCCAGTGCTGGGCTCCTCCCCAAGCTGGAGTGTCCTCACCTTCATGAGAGCCAGTGCAGAGTATGGAATATTGGGGAATTTCACTTCCAATGGTTCCTGCAGGGAAAAAAGAAACAGTGAACGGACTCATATTAGCAAACATTTCATTCATCAGGTACCAAGACCCAGCTTTCCATAGGAACATGAGCTGTTCCTCACAAAATGCCTCCCTCACTCCATGTGCTCAGAGGCCTGGCAGCACTGAGGATGTGCCACCAGAAATGGGGAAAGCAGCAGAGATTAAACATTTTCTGTCTGCTTTTACACAGATTGTAAGTTAAAATGTCCTGAGAGGTTCAGCCACCTCCAAATAATATTCTGGTGCACACTGACAAAATAGAGAACAGAGTTTTTGGATAGGGAAAAACACAGCAGAGCAAAGACAGGGCAGGGTGGGAAGCAGGGAAGTGCAGGGAGGCAGCTCTTACCATGATCTCTGGGTCTGGAATTCTTACCCCACTGAAGAACTGGTTGGTGCTGAACACCTGCTGGTGCCTGGGAATGAGATCCCCTTCGACCAAGAATTTAAAAAAGAAAAAAAAAATTGGAGTAATTTGCTTAATTTTACAGTGCCTGCATTGAACATGGTTGTATCCTCTAACAAGGCTGATGCCACCCAAGGCA